CTGCAGGGTCAGAGTGGAAACTCCTTACGCTCCTGACTGCCACAGGAAGGGACGACGGAAGAGTGGCCCGGAGGGAGGGAGGCATGTTAGCCTTATCAACGGCTTTTGTCTTTTTTGTCCTTTTTAAGAAAAAAAATTATTACGTGCTACTTGCATGCTTGCCAATAACTCTCTTTTTGAAATACAAGGGAATTTCAAAACATTCATGGAAAAATGGAATTAAGGGATAATATGTACTCCAGCAAATTTTCTTCTTATTTAATTACAGATTCAGAGAAAGATGCAAAAAATGCACCTTCACCCAGTGTGAGACTGTGGAAGTAAAGTAAGAGCTGAGTAGTACTAAGCTGTACTGAGTGATACATGAATCAAGAGAACAGTGTGTTAAGCAGTAGGTAAATACTACTAGGATGATAGTAATGAGAAACAGTACTAGGGAGTAGTAGTAAGAAATAGTTCAATAATCAACGAATGTCTAACAACAAAGAAAATAGGTTAATGGCAAAAATTTGTCATAAGATAACTTTAGGTGTTTATAGATAGCATTAAATAAGTAACTAATAATAAGATACTTAAAACATGTAGGTAATTAAGAGAGAGCGACTGGTAGAGGGTTGGATAAGTAACGATAATTAGAACATAGGATAAATGATGTTAAAATGATGCTGACTGAGCAGTTGTTAAGCTGACCGCTAACTGTGGCTGCTGTGACGAGAGCTTCGCTTGCTGCAAGGGGACCCAAGGTACAGCTGTGACAGGCCTCGGGCAGGTCTTAGACAAGCTAGGCCTGAGTGTCAGTCCCTAGGATTGAGGCACCCACTTCCCCGAAATGGGCCACCACACACCCTACACAGAGCCGGCCAATCAGAGGAGACCTGAAAGGTCCCTAGTCATCAGGTGGTCATGGCAATAGAGGTTGACCCCTGGGGTGGGCACAGATAAGTGACCAACCACTAGAGTGGTTGCGGGTGACAGAGACTGACCAATTACAATCTTGCCAATGCCTGTTCGTAGAATCAATGGCCCATTCCTAGAATTGTAGCCAAAGTCCTATATGAACTATGTGAAATTTATGGTTGGGGTCCTTGTCCAGACTCCACTGTGTTGGATGAGACATGGACCCTAATGCACTAGCAATAAACTTCCTTTGTTTTTACATTATCTCATGTGGAACTCCTCTATTCAAGGTAGAGGGATAAATTACGGACCTAACGCCAACTTCCCCCAAAATTACCAGTTTGCAGAAAAGAATAAATTATCAAAACCAGGAATGTTCACACTGGCACAATCCAGACAGAAAATCTTCTGACTCTCCTCCTCTATGTATATCTGACTTTCCAATAAAAATAAATAAATCTTTAAGAAATAATAATAATAAATAAAGGCACACATTAACAACAAAAAGAATTTCTAAAATGCAAAGAATATTCCCAAAAAGCAGGCTCGGAGGTCGCCCACCCAGATCAACAATTCCGTCTCTGGGTGTGGGCTCCAGGAAAGGGCATTTTCACAAGCTCTGCAGCTCCCACAGCATGAAGGTACCAGGGCAAAACTGACGCTGCAGCTCCACCTGGCGGCCTACAGTCAGAATGCATCCCCCACAGAACCCCTGGCTCCAGGCATTCAAGGCTAGCAAGAACCTTCCCTCCTAAGTTTTTTATCCCTTACAACATTTGATCCATGCCATCATGCTCACGAATTAATAGGTCCAGAATCATTACCAAAATTTAGCTTCCCAAGCACACACCAATGCAAAATGCCTCCTTCCAAAATTGAGTATTTTACTAATTTGTGTTTTCTGTGTATTCTGGCTAAGAATTTTTTTATTCAATATTATATTTCTTATTGTCCTAGATTCATATTTTTTCTTGGCAGTAAAATTATTAGTAAAATTTATATTTTTTAAATGTATTAATCTGGGGGCAACAAGCTAAGCTTCCACCTCAAGCACCGGTATCTCCTATATGTGCCAGTTCATGTCCCAGCTCCTCCATTTCTGATCCAGCTCCCTGCCTGTGGCCTGGGAAAGCAATGGTGGATGGCCCAAAGCCTTGGGACCCTGAACCTGTATGGGAGACGCAGATGCTCCTGCTCCCTGGCTTCCGATCAGCTCAGCTCCAGCCACTGTAGCCACAAGGGAGCAAACTGGTGGGTGCAAGATCTTTCTCGATCTTTCAAATCTCTGTAAATATGCCTTTCCAAAAAAAAAAAATTATTAATTTGAAATACTGACAGAGATAGGGATGTGGGTGAAAAAGAGGTAGAGAGATATTCCCTTTACTGGCTCACTCCCCAAACACCTGCAACAGCCACGGTTTGGATACGCTGAAGCCAGGAGCCAAGAGGCCCTCAGTCTCCTGCGTGGACGACAGGAACCCAAGCCCATGGGCCATCACCCCAGGCTTGTGGGCAGGAAGCTGGGTCAGAAACAGAGAAGCAGGAACTAGAACCAGCACTCAAAGGGGACAGAGCAGGGAACACAATGCCACCAAAAGTGCTTCATTTTAATGAAATCCAATTTATCATTCTTTTTCCATATATACTGGTTCTGAGTGCTGTTGAACAATTTCAAAGAATCTCTGGCCGAATGGCCTGGTGGCCAAGGTCAGGGGAGCCTCACTGTCTTGACACACATGAAAGCCGTGTGCCTTTTCCTGGCTCTGGGGCTGCATGCCAGGGCTCTGTTTTTCCGAGTGGGCAGAGGATGGTCTGCCCCGCTCAGAGGTGAGGAGTTCAACTCAGTGCGTCTTCCATAGAAGCAGTATTTTCACAGGCCACAAAGAGCAGACACAGCAGGGATTCACATCCATGGCCCACGGCCACATGTGCCATTCACACCCATGTAAGAGCGCCAGCTCTAGGGATGTGTTTACAGGATTCCCAGCTTGCCCCCATCTCACTGAGTGACAAAGAACAATTTTCTTTATTATTCTTGTCAAAGCAAAACACTTGCTACCTGTCACAGAACTAACAGTTCCTGACAGAAACTAAAGCGTTTACAAGAGAAGTGGTGAGTGAGCAGACAGCTACATCAGGCAACGAGAGGGGGGAGCGAGACAGGCAGAGCGACAGCAGGGGAAGCAGCTTTTCCTAAATTCCCTAGACACTCATTAGGGGAGGCTTGGTTTTGAAAACTGCTCCTACAGCCCAAGCAAGGCACACGGGGAAGCTAGCAGTGACCAAGCAGCAGAGCTGTGAGTGACATGAGCAGAAGTCATCTCCGTGTAAGCATGCAGTGCTTCCTTGCATACGTGAGACTGTTCTCTCCTACGCAGCCATGTGGCCGCTTGGGGCTCTCTCTGAGGCACACCTTTCCAACTCCACTGTCTCCAGAGCCAGGCAGCATACCCAGCCTGAGCCGTGTGGCACAGTGTGTGGGAGCACAGCCTGTGACATTAGCATCCCACATGGAGGCCAGGTCTAGTTCGTGTTAGTTCACTTCTGATCCAGCTCCCCGCTAATGTGCCTGGGAGACAGCTAAAACTACCACCCACGAGCGTGCATGGAGTGCTTGGCTCTTGTGTTTGGCCTAGCCCACAAGATCTCTCACTCTGTCTCTCCCTCTATATAACTCGCCTTTTCAAAACACAGATAAGTGTATCATCTGGAGATGGCAATTTTCTTTTTCATTATAATTTTCTACACAAAAACCCTAAACACTACACATTATTACAAAAATAAAACAATTATCAAGTTAGGAAAAAAAAAAAGTCCTGTTGAGGGAGGAGGGCCCATTGTGTAGTTGGAACCCAGTGTAGCAAGCAGAGGCTGGTGGTCAGCTGCGGGGGGATCGGGCAGGCAAAGCAAACACTCATGTCCTCTCTTCTCTCCACACACTGCTACCATCAGGAATCCTCAGGCTTTCTGCTGAAGAGAAGCAGCTCAGTGTCTCACTTCCATCAGCATCTATTCACAGTTCCAAGCGGGGGAAGGCTGCTCTAATTCAAATCCTGTCTTGCAGAGCAAGGACAAGGCAGTCATTCCTAGACAGGAGACTGTCTTGCTGGCAGAAAACAACCTCCTTCACACACGGTGCAAAGACACCTTAGGGTCCTGCCTCTGTGTGTACTACAAGGGCAGGATTTCTCCAGGCCCCACGGGCTCTGTTCAGCAAGAGGCAGGGCTACAACTGATCTGCTACAACAGGGCCACAGACTTCACGGAGAGGATCAACTAGGACTAAGACAGAAACCATCAAGGAGAGGATCTCTATTCAACTGCCCCTTTCACCTAAGGCCAACAGAATACACCACGACCTCACCTCCCTAACGCTCCTTCTGCAACACAGCCACATAAAGTGGGAAATGACTTCCAGGTACTGTTCCCAGAGGAGCTGGCTGGCCTTGCTCTGGGGAGAGGTACTGGACACAGGCGGTCTTCCCCTAAGACTGAAGGGACACAACAGTGCCTCCCACTGCTGCCCCGACCCCTGCCCTGATCTGCACACCCTTTAAGGATGCCCCCAGTCCCCTGCTAGTGCTGGGATGATCAGTTCAAGACTGCCTTCAGGAATGCAGACAGACAACACACACACAGTGCATGGGGGCTCAACTTTCTGTTATTATGGTCACTGATCCTTTGGAGAAACTGGAAAAAGGAAAGGTTTACCTGCCCAAATACACAATATAGTGTTCGCATTACGCGGGGGCTTTGTGTTCACACAGATCACTCGGAGAAAAAAAAAATCACTCAGAGAAGCCTTCAAGCCCGAGGTGAAGTACACCTGCACAGTAGCAACAAGTTGGGCAAATCTCTGCTCACTGCGCCCCACGGCTCCCTTGCACCTGGGGAACACGGAGACTCACACTACTTCACTGCCCAGGGTGCAGCTGAGCCGGGGACTCCTCCCCAAAGTGCTCACGCTATCTGTGGTTCAGAAGCACCAGCACATGAGGTCAGGAGATGACGCCCAGCGACACCAACTATCGCGCCGGCTGATCACATTACTGACAACAGAGCTGCGGAAGTTTTCCCTCCTTACGAATTAAGAGGCGACTCACCTCTGAGGCTTCCGAATATCCCAGAGTCCCACTCCTTCCTTCGAATTGGCTGTCGCCAACAACCTGGGCTCCACAGGGTTGAACATGACACTGTGAAAGGCTGATGGATAGTTTGCCAGGCAGAAGGGCTCTGCGAAAGGGAAAATGGGGTGCAATTAGTCCATTCCAGGCAGCTCTGGACCAGTGGTGGGCAGATAAGCAAGAAAGTGGGTGCAGGTGGGAGCACACTGCCTCCCACCAGGCACCCTGGTTCACAGGGTCCCTGTGAATGAGTGCACACTTTCAGCACAAAGGCTGAAAACAGTGACCTAAACATGCGCAAATTTTAAACCTTTATACTCAAAACTACCTATAGTGCCTGTTTGGATCCTGTGAGGAAGCAGGAATAATCACTGAAATGACAAGATGAGCTGTTACAGTCAGTGAGGCGGAAACCCACACGAGCAGGAAAAAACCCACATTACTAGCAGGATCATTATACTTTTAAACTAAATGTGTCAGATCTAGAAACTACAAATGTCTAAATTTCACATGGGTATAAAAGTAGTTTTCCCTGTGGTTCACCATGTTCCATCAAGTAGAAAGAAAATGGCCTAATCATAAAATTTTATTATTTTATTGACAGCATTGCATTTAAAATATATATATTTAAATTTTTTTAAGATGCTTAATAGAATCAACCTCCCCCAGAAGATTTACATTTATTTGTGTCAACCAGCAGGTTCCAGATGAGGAAGGGATCTCTTTGCCACCTTGGGCATGCTCCTTTGGAATCTACTGAAATAACTGCACTTCTCAGCCTAGGATTCCACACGAAGTATTCACAGGCCTGGGGGAGGGGACTGCAGCCTGCAGGCAATCCAAGGCAAAGTGGACCTGACCCACCAGCCAGACCTGCTACGCTGGCCTTACCTGGCTGGCCTCGGGAGAAGCTTCTTACAGCCTGTACCTCAACCATGAGCACAGCATGGTAAGGACTTGAAATACAGAAAACGTTAAAAGACCCAAATGCTGTCAGGCAACAGAACAGTAACGCTGTGTAGCCGGCACCGTTACAAGACTGAACATAAGGCGCCCCTATTGGAAGGGGCCTTTGAAGACAGGAAAAAAATATCTCTGCAGGAAATGAGCTGAGAACATGTATTTCCTGAAGAACTCTGGAGAAAACCTAAAAACCAAGTTCTTCATTGCGTACATGAGGCTCAAAGAACCTGTTACGAGGAGGCAGAGAGCTTCCCTTAAAACAGCGTGTTTGCCATCACTCTAAGATCCGACACACAGATACAGTGAGGTTTTGCGGCTCTTTCAACAAAACAAGTAGAACCTGAATGTAAGGATACCCGATACCCTTAGCACAAGACCCCGTCCTTGGTGGCACATCCTGCTCCTTGGGACTGTTCAACAGCCAACCACAGGGCTTGTGGAGGGTCACAGGAGGCTGGAGAAGCGGTGGCCAACGTGCCTCACCTCTGACCACTCTGAGTCAGGTGACCTTCAAAGACAAGTGTAGCCACCACGCAGGAGTCTCATCCACTCCTTACTCTTCCTCAGATGCTTGTGTTACCAAGTGAGCTGGCAATGACCCTGACTTCAAACTTGCTCAACACAACCGAACAGCCTTTGGCACAAGGACCCTACCTCCATGGGGAGATTCCCGGATGTCCCAGATGAGAACGCGGCCATCGTCTGAGGAGCTCGCGAAAATGTTGTCATTCACTGGGCTCACCGACAAGCCGTACACTGCATCTTCATGAGCGAACACGTCCAAGGTCTCACTGCTGAAAAACAGAGCAAGAGAGGAATACAGGCAACTACGCACCCTGCACAGTGCAGAGCCCAAGGGGACGTGCTGCCTCTCATTTCTAAACAAAGTCAACTTCACCAAACCCAAAGGGTATCCTATTTCCTAAAAAGTAGCGATTTAACTTGCAAGAAAAACAAAACAAAAAGGCACTACTGTTTATATAAGATTGTTTTGTAGATTTCATGGCAATTTCCTTACTAGACAGCATATTCAAAAGTGACTCAACAGCCAAATGTTATGTTCTCCTTTACTGCAAAGTGTGCCTGCTTGTGTACAGATGCGGGGATACTGGATGAATTCCAAAAAGTAAGGAAAAGCTTGAAAGCAGCCAGGGCTAATGCAGTGAGAGTGCCGTGCCAAGGGCCTCTCCTGGTGTTCTGGCATGCTAAGCAGAGATCTCATAACAATTTTACAAACCCCTTATTTATTTTTCAAAAAAATTGATGGATGGATCTGAGGTGGCAGTGACAGATATCCACTGGTTCATTTCCCATATGGGAACAATAGCTGGGATTGGTCCAGGAGTGGCAGGGCCAGCATCCACTGTCTTGCCAGGCACATTAGCAGCAAGCTGGACTGGAAAGCAGAACAGCCAGGACTCAAACCAGCACCAGGTGCCAGTGCTATAAGCAGTGGTCAACTGACCGCACCAGACCGTCACCCTTCCCTACTTTCATTTATTTCACACCTATCACAGAAAAACTTTCCTTCAGAAGAAGGTAATTGTTTTCATGTTATTTTCCTTAAAAATAAAAATATCTTAGCCCAAAGAGGTATTTGCCTTTCTTCATTTGAAAAACTGAGTCAATCACTTTCACACCAACAGTCTATTTACCTTTCAACGTCATGGAGGATAACTTGCTCGTCGTTTCCTAGAAAGGGAAAAGGCAGACATTTAATGATTCCTGTAAGGTGGTCCTTGTTCACGTTACAATTTACTATTTTGAAGTTCACAGGGAAAAAAAAAAAAGAACAAATATAAATGGGAATGCTGACTAGAAAAAAAGGCTTGTAAAAATAGTTTGGAAAGGATAGAATAGCCTTGTAGAGAATTTTTTTTAAGTAATAGCAGACAACTAGATATAACATTTATTACAATGTACTACCCAGTGCATGCTATAAAAAACTTGGGTCATTAAGAAAGAGTACCACATGATCATGAGCAAATCTTTGTTGTTGTTTTTTACTTCTTTTTTATTATTATCATTTTATGACACAGTTCCATAGGCCCTGGGATTTCCCTTACTCCTTCCCGCCCTCCACAAGCACTTATTATTAGATAGGCTGTTTGTCTTCAAAGAGGAAGATAAAGTGTACCTGCCTCTCTGGGCGATTGTGACTGTTAAGAACACAGAGGTAAAAGCGTGCAGAATAGGACAAGATGGTTCATCAGTCCCAAATAGACTAACTGTTCACTACTATTTTTAATTTCACTTTTATAGCATTAATATTTTATGGCTATATGGTTCCAAACGTTGGGAAAGCTTTTAATCCACAAGTTTTTCTCTTGAATTTCTCTACTCCACAGGGATCCATAAGTACCGTATTCATGACTGTATAGTCCTGTCTTCAAATGGTTTACAGGAAAAAAAAAAAAAACTGAAGCTTCAATATAAAAAGGCACATTGGAGGTTGTGCTTAAATGCACAACCTACAATAATTTACATAAAATGCAAAAGAAACACTAGATGTGGTCCAAGCCATCTTAAACCAAACATTGACCATAAATTCTACTGCAGGTGCATACTAACTAGATAAATACATCCACACTAATGTCCTCTAGGAGTCATGCATAGCACCAACTGCTGCTGACATGAGAAAAGATTGGCCAGATCTTTGAAGAACTCACAGTTCAGCTGCTCTAACAACCAACAGCAGCAAGTGGATTTGCCTGCTTGTAGTGAAATGACCGACCTACTGGCACAATTATTTCCTTCATGAGCAAAAAGTTCACGAGAAAAGACGACAGTTAGAGAGAAATTCAAACAACTAAAACATTCAGCCCTGAGAGACCTAGGAAAACTAGTGGGGAGCTTCAGTTAAGAAAAGAACACCATGAGCAAAAAGCATAAGAGCAAATTAGTGAAATATCGTCTGTGATGTAAGCACAGGAATTGAGATAGTTCCTATTGGGGTTAATACCTTATTCTTTAGGTACCATAGGGTCAAAAGTTCATATGGTCAAATCTTTATTTTAAAAAGAAAATTAACATAACCCCAGCTGTTGGCAACTACCAAGGTTACCTGGTACCTGGCAAGCGTTACACTGCTGGGAGAAAAACAGCCAGTAACTGGTAGACACTCTGGGCATGGTTAATGCCAAGTTTGTGCTAACTCTACCAGTATGCCAGCACAACTGTTTATGCTTTTTCTTTTTTAAAGACATGGACAAGGCAGGGAACACCAGGCTGGGACACATGACCGCAGCCCAGGCAAGGGGGCTGCAGATTGCCTGAAGATGAGGGTCTGGGGACATATCACAGTGGGAATGGCTGAGGGCATGTTTGACAAATGGGGAATGGCTGAAGGCCTCTTTGACAGAGGAGGAATAACTTCTGAAATCTACCACAGATTGAGCCACTGCACTTACAGGTTGGCAAGGGAGGTAAGATGGGAGTGCTTTCGAGTGGGGGAAACCAGAGGCCATGTCTGGGTCAGGTAAAGGCATCCACCTGCATAGGAGACCTGAGGTTGGCCTAGGCCACAATACTTAGAGCACCCACTAGAACGTGAAAGACCCAGACCTGGGGGCAGATTCTGTAGGGGACTTGTAGGCTTACCTCTGTGGGAATACAGCACCTACCGAGAGCTGGCGGTGATGATGGGCCAATCCAGACTGGCCGCAGAACTCACCTGACAATCATGTGGAAATGGGGCTGGGAAGAAGTGGGGCGGGACAGAGCTGCAGCACCTCTGGCACAGACAAGGCCAGAGCTGAAGGAAGATCATGCCAACCAGGGCTGCTGCATCCACTGGCATGCATGTGATCCAGAGATGAGAGCAAACCTGATAGGGAACTCCCCTGCTAGCCTGCAGCGCCCATTGTGAGTATGAGCTGGAGCTGGAGGCAGGTAAGGCTGGGCCAGGGCACAACACACTGACACAAGTGAGAGCCTGCAATGGAGGGTAGTCCAGGCCTGGTTGGACCACAACACCCACCAGTTCACATGACGACTGGTACTAGGAGTGGACCAGGCTGCCAAGATTGGGGGTATGTCATTTCAGACTGAGCCCACTGGCATGTACCCACTGGCATGCATGACACCTGGATCTGGGAGTGGGTCTGGTAGAGGAACTTTAGGGACTCTCTTGATGGGCTGCTGCTTCCATTGGTTAAGCATGAGAGCTGGGACTGGAGGTGGGCCATACCCTCTTTTGCACAGGAGAGCCAGACTGGGAGCAGGCCAGTAAGGCTAGGCCAGAACATCAGTTGCCAAGTGCCAGGACTGTGTGCAATTTCTGTAAAGGCTTGACCACTGTATCTCCTGACAGATGTAGGATCTGGGGCTGGGAGCATGCCTGGCAGCGGAACTGTGAGCATTCCCTTGCTATGTTATTATCTATCACTGGTGAGCACAAGAAACAGGGCTGGGGGCAGGCCATGCTGGGCAAGGAGGCAGCACCTGTCAACAAAACGAGGGTCGGGTCTAGTGAAAGGACAGGCTGAGCCAAGCCTCTAAAACCCATGAGTGTGCACAAGAGCCAGATGGGATGTGGGTGGCACTGGGCTAGACAGCAGCAGAGGCCAGCATGCACAAAAGCTGGAGCTGGGAACAGGCCTGTTAGGGTTTTAGGGGAGTCGTCCCAACTAGGTTGCGGCACCTGGTGGTATGTGTGAGGCTGACTGGGCTAGGCTGGACCACGGCACCTGTTGATTCATATGAGGTATGGGGCTGGGATAGAACTAACCAGGCAGCTGCATCTACCACACCAGCATTTGCACTGGCTGGTGCAGGTGAGAGACCAAACCTGAGCATGAACTGTTGTGGCACACACAAAAGCCTGAAGTCACTCCAGACAAGGTTTCGTGGGGGACTCACCAACTGGATCGCTGGCCCCAGACTCCCACCCATAAGGAAAAATCACAGGATATGTTGTCAGGCCTTCAAGTGCATGTATTGAGACTGGGCTTTCTCAGTTGCTGATGCCTGTGCAGCGGACAGCATGCCCAAATGCAGGGAAAGGAGAGCCAATTGAGGCCTACCAAGGACCTCAACTGCCTCGTCAGAGGACAGAAAGTAGAAGAGCTCAGACTATTGTCCTGGCTAAGCTTCGCAGCATGTTCTTGGGCGTGTGAATGTAATGTCAACCAACAGACCCTGGAAAGATTTCTCAACCTGGAACAACAAAACCAGCAACTTCTCAGAACTGTCAAAACCACTCAAGTAACACCCTCAGAACACTCCTCCACATGGGGACTGCTAGGGTCTCATCACAGGACCCCACATCCCAGGGTGTTGATGTAGTTTGAGGGGGTAGACCTGAAGACCTGAGGATACTGAAACATCTGTCCCACCTACCTTCCTCTGTACCTGCCCTCCCCACCCTAATCAGAGGCCCACAAGCTGTACAGCTGCCTCAGTTCGAACAAAATCCACAGAAGCAATGAAAGGGAAGGAGGGGTAATCTAACAGCAAAAATCACACATCACTGCAGTTGTCAGGGCCAAAGCAATCAGCACAGAAAGGAAGCAAACTTAAGGATGAACAAGAGAGGCTTTCAAGAGAGATGTGACAGGACTTGGTGACTGACTAGATAGATAAATGAAAGGCAGGTTAGAAGACAGCTTCAAGATCACTGTAAGCATGAACCATGTCAAACTGCCATTATTCTAGGTTGAAGATGATAATACGTACAGTCTCTTAAAGTTAACCCTGACAGTTTGGAAGAGAATACTTTAGAAAGTTTGCAGAGGGCCCAGCATAGTGGCCTAGCAGCTAAAGTCCTCACCTTGCATGCACCGGGTTCCCATAAGGGTGCCGGTTCCCATCCAGCTCCCTGCTTGTGGCCTGGGAAAGCAGTCCAGGACAGCCCAAAGCCATGGGACCCTACACCCATGTGGGAGACCTGGAACAGCTCCTGGCTCCTGGCTTTGGATTGGTGCAACATCGGCCATTGTGGTCACTTGGGGAGTGAACCAGCAGACGGAAGATCTTTGTCTCTCCTCCTCTCTGTATATCTGACTTTGCAATAAAAATAAGTAAATATTTAAAAAAAAAAGTTTGTGGAGAATGTAATTAAAAGATGTATTTTGGTACCAAAAGTTTATAAATGCAAGCATAGTCCACAGTGTGCAAACTTTCTGAAGATGATTCCCATAACAGTGAATAGCACTGAGTGAATCCAAAACATGGTGGGAAGAACTAATATCCTTGGTTCTAGATAACTTTGGGAAAACAGGCAGCAAAGTAGCAGGAAGATCTACAGCTCAGAGAGAAGGTGGGGCTAGAAAGGCGGTGTCAGAAAAGGATGTGACTGATGAACGTCTTCCCCAAGAGGCAGGCTTGAACAAAGGTGGACTCTCTCAGCCAGTGGCTTCACCACGCTTGGAATGGCAGCAATTCAAAACAGTTGAACTATCGTAACCACTTGAGCAGTGCCCTCAGAGCACTGGGGACCGGGATGGTTGCGAGGCTGGGTGTGGCTTCTCCCTTTGTCTCTCCCCTTCGCCCAGATACAGGAAGGAAAAAAGAGAATGTGGAAACAATGGTCTTATCCAATTTCCTGTAGCCCTTGACCCTTTGTGCCCTAATCAACTATGTTAAGACAATAAAATAAAATAAAAATAAAATAAATAGAATGGATTAAAATAAAATAAAACATTAACCAAAAAAAAAGCCATCTAATAGGCTGTTAGCAATTTGAGTCACAAGGAAAGAATTTTTAAAAATATAATCTAAGGGTGTATATCACCTAATGTATTTTTTCAAACTTATGTATTAATTTATTTCTGTGTATTAGATTGTTACGTGAAAAGTCCTCAGACAGAGAGAGAGCAAGAGGAGGAACAGCAAGGAAGCCATAATGATACACATTTCTAAACTGCTGCAACGCAGGGAAGACAGCGGGGGAAACCGGAAATGCTACAACTCAGGGGCATACAGGAAGAAAAACCTGGGGTTATTTTAGCATTTCTGAGTCCCAACCACAGTGAATTTCCCAAAGTGGAATCTCCCTTCTTCTCACCTCCAGAGAACACTTTAGTGTTTCCACTGTTGAACGCCAGGCAAAAAATGTTGGAATGATGTTCCCCTTTCAGCTGGATGGGCTTGACCCTGGAGTGGATGGCTTGCTCCATGTGCCATAGCAGAACCCGGCGGTCGTCTCCTCCTTGGGAGGAAGGAAGAATCGAGGTTAAGAGGCTGACAGTGCTGCAAGGCCGGTGTTTGCATCACCCTTCAATCCCATCCTATCCACAGCTAAGTCTCCCTCAACTTGCCAAGACTCTGAGGAGGCAGGACCCAGATCCCACCTCTCTCGGGTGTAAGCAGGCGCGAGGTCCCTCTCTCGGCCGCCCCTGCTCTCCTGGAGCTGAGCCTTGGAGAGACACTGAAACTGAGACGGATGAGCACTGACACTCCCAAAATCCCCGCTTCCACCCTTTTCCAGTATCTACTTGTTTATAAATTTCTTCGTTTGCCAGCTAGACTATTTTACCAAAGTCCTTTATTTTGTCTAATAGAACCTGAGTTGTTTTCTGCTCAAAGTAACATACTTTTAGATGTAAATCCCCAGGGCAATCTCCTGGACGTGATCTCATCATCTAGAGACGCTGTAACAAAGGCACATGGGCAATCCCCTGCCTTTCACAGCAGCAGGGTTGAAGCGCAGCCCAGCTCTTCCCAGTTTATCTCGCCACAGGCTGAATTAAATGAACAATATTATACTGCAGGAATCAGCTCCCAGCAATGAAAAGGGATAGCTTCTACAAAATTTTTATATTATTAGACGCCTTTAAAAAGTATGGATGGGGGGAAAAGTCTGCAGGATGAACTGACCGTTAACGGAGAGCATATACCTCTAGCTACTATGATTACAAGAGGGGCAGAGCGGACTGTTGCTGTAGTGCCACAGGTTCAGCTGCATGTGCAATGCCAGCATCCCCCATGGGCACCAGGTCATGTCCTGGGTAATCCACTTCCTATCCAGCTTTCTGATAACAGCCTGTGAAAAGCTGGCCCCTATAACTCATGCAGAAGACCTGACGGATTTCCTTGCTCCTGGCTTAAGCCTGACTCAGTCCTGGCGGTTATGGCCATCTAGAGGGTGAACCAGATGATAGAAAAACAATCTTTTTCTGCCTTTATTTCTCTGGAACTTTGTCTTTCAACTAAAGTAAATACGGGCCAGCATCATGGCAACTGGTCAAGCTACTATTAGTGTTCAGCTCCTGTCTGCGGCACAGGTATCCTTACGGGTGTCAGCTTGAATCCTGGCTACTTGACTTCCAGTCCAGCTCCCTGCTCATGTGCCTGGAACGCAGTAGATGGTTCAAGTGCCTGGGCCTCTGCAAACATAACTGCTATCCACTTCCAGGTCATTCTTATCACCTCAAACAACTAAAACTCCATGGAAATCATTGTTCTACTTTCTGTCTTTATGAACTGGACTGTTCAACTATATGCAAAAAGTTAATCTAAGCAAAGACTTTAAATTTAGTATTCAAAACAATGAAAATCCTAGAATATAACACAGGAAGCAATCCTAGATAACCTTGAATATGACAATAACTTTCTAGATACAACACGGATTACATGATTCATTATTAAAGAAATAACAGATAAGTTGGGCTTTGTCAAAATTACAAACTTCTGCTCTACAAAAAATGGTATCAGGAGAATGAGGAGACAAGTTATAAAGTGGGACAAAATCATTACAAAAGATACATCTAATAAAGGACTATTGTCCAAAATATACAAAATATACAAGCACAGACCCAACAAGCACTTTCATTCGGGGCAGGTGGGAATGCAAAACAGTACAGCCAATTTGGCAGTTTCTTATAAAACTAAACATACTCTTAACATACAATATCCACCAATCATGCTCTTTGGCATTTACCCAAAAGAGCCAAAAACTTATTTCTACATAATGACTTGCAGATGAATATTTATAGCAGCTTAATTCATAACTGCCAAAACTTGGAAACAAACAAGATGTCCTTCAGAAATATGATTGTTCAATGTTTTTTTAAAAAAAAAAAAAAAAGAAAGAAATGGGGCCTGGTACAGAGGCCTAGCGGCTAAAGTCCTCACCTTAAACGTTCCAGGGTTCCCTATGGGCACCAGAAAGCAGTGGAGGACAGCCCAAGTGAACTAGGCTTCAATGCCCATTGACATGTATGAGAGCTAAATGGGATGTGGGACAGACTGAACAAGTCTGCTGTACATACTGGCAAGCATGGGCACCAGGGTAGGGGGCAGGCCTGGTGGGGGTTACAGGGAGTCACCCCGACTAGGCTGCAGCTCCCACTGCTTTGCGTGAGGTCCAAGTATGAAGTGGGAAGGATCAGGCTAGACTGCAACACCCATCGGTACGCATGGAAGACAGTGCTGGAAACAGAACTGACCCAGCAACTGCAATGACCAACATGTGCATAAGCTGAATGGAGAGATGGACGGTGCCGGACCCTGTACTGGCAAGCACACACAAAAATCAGGTCTAGGATCACCTCAGACAAAGTTTCTCTGGGGATCCCTCCTCCCAACTGAACTGTTGATCTCAGAACCCCAACCATGAAGAGACTATGTCAGCCAGTGGATTCTGAAGAGATTTCATTATACTTGGAATGGAGAGACTGACAGCAATTCAAAACTGATGAACTATCAGAACTGCCTGAGCAGGACCCTTGGAGCATGCCCCACATGAGGGATCTGGGATGGGTGGGAGGCTGGGTGGGGACTCTCCCTTTGATTCTTCCCTTACTCCAGATAGAGGGGAAAAAAAAGAAATTAGTGTAGAAACAATGGTCTTACCCACTTTCCTGTAACCCTTGACCCTTTGCACCCTAATCAACTATGTAAGATTATCAAAATAAAAATATATTTTAAAAATTACATGAGGATGGAAAGGAATAAGCAGTCAAGTGCAAGTGCAGGAAGGTCCAGAGAGATGAGGAGACATGCGACCTGCCCTTCACCAAAGGAGGGACCACAGGCACTGACCTCTGTGGACACCGTCTATACCCACCATCTTTCTTTTGAAGTTGGATCCATTTATCTACCTATTAACTCATTTCTTCATTACAAAACTAGGACAGAAACATTCCACAACATTTAAGAAATTGTACAGCCAATAAGTCACTCACTCAAAAAACTACAATTCCTGAAATCCCAGGGCTCCTATAACTTGAGAGAAGCAATATTCACTCCAGAGGTATGCTGGTGCTGCACAGACATGCCACACAACTAAGCCTGTAGGGAATATGTAACACTGTCAGCCTATCCATTTTAGGTTAATAACTCCTCAGAGGAAAGAAAAAAGCTACTGAGTAGAGAAACATTCCTCAAAATGCCTTCCCTCAAAATCAACATTTCAGAGCAATAATTCAAAGGAAGATTTTAAGATCTTATATGTTGTTATTTCAAAAGAATTTTACAGAGAGAAAGATCTTGTATTCACCAGTCCACTTCCCCAAGAGCTGTTAACAATCGCCACTGGACTGATACAAAGTCAGGAGCCAAGAACTTTTTCCAGGTCTCAAACAGAAGTGCAGGGGGCCAAGTACTTGAGCCAACCTCTGTCATGTTCCGGGGCCACAGGCAGGGAGCTGGATGGGAATGGAGCAGCTGGGACATCAATTGGTACTTTATGTGTGTTACACCACTACACTGGCACAGATCACAGGAAGACTTCTAAAACAAATAGCAATGCTCTCCTACTCCACCTCCCATAGGTGGGTCAGTGCAGTGGCATAGCAGGCTAAGTGTCCATCTGTGGCAAGAGCATATGGGCATTAGCCCAACTCTACTTTTTGAGTCAATTTGGGGGATTCAATCAGCAGATAGAAGATCTACCTCATTCTCTTGTAACTCTGCCTTTCCAATAAGAATAAATCTAAAAAGGGAAAAAAACACAAGATGGCAGCACCGTGGTTCAACAAGCTACTCTCCTCCACCTACAAGTTTGGGTATCTCATACAGGTGCCAACTTCATGTCCCAGCAACAAAGGATGGCCCAATGCCTTGGGACCCCGCATCCACATGTGAGATGTAGAAGAGTATCCTGGGCCCGGCAGCATGGTCTAGCGGCTAAAGTCCTCGCCTTGAACGCACCAGGATCCCATATGGGTGTGTAAATAAATCTTTAAAAAAAATTATAAGAATAAAAAGAACATGGTACCTCTCTGTGCACAGAAAGTTTTGAACACGTCACTGGTAAAAACCCACCCATCCCTCATAGCATTTTTCTAATAATAATGAATCTTTTTTTTTTTTTAAGATTTATTTATTTTTATTACAAAGTCAGATATACAGAGAGGAGGAGAGACAGAGAGGAAGATGTTCCGTCTGATGATTCACTCCCCAAGTGAGTGCAATGGCCGGTGCTGTGCCGATCCAAAGCCAGGAGCCAGGAGCCAGGAGCCAGGAGCCAGGAACCTCCTCCAGGTCTCCCACACGGGTTCAGGAACCCAAAGCTTTGGGCCGTCCTCGACTGCTTTCCCAGGCCAGAAGCAGGGAGCTGGATGGTAAGTGGAGCTGCCGGGATTAGAACCGGTGCCCATATGGGATCCTGGCACATTCAAGGCGAGGACTTTAGACGCTAGGCCATGGTGTCGGGCCCTAAAATAAATAAATCTTAAAAAAAAAAAAAAAAGAGTATCCTGGCTCCCAGCTACAGATCAGCTCAGCTTTGGCCACTGCAGCCATTTGGAGAATCAGTCAGTGGATGGAAGATCTTCTGTATGTTTCCTTCTCTCTGTATATCTGTCTTTCAAATCAAAATAAACAAATCTTCAAAACACACACACATACAAATAATAAATAACAATGAGGGAGTGTGCTGTGACCAGAGTAAGCTTCTGGCCACAGTGCCAGCATCCCACAGGAGCATTGGTTTGAGTCCCAGTTGTCCCACTTTTGATCCAGCTCTCTGCTGACTGTCTGAAAGCAATAGAAGAGGGCCCAAGTATTTATGAGACTGCTTAAGCTCCTGTCTGCTGGCTTCAACCTGGCCTAGCCTCAGCCACTGATGCACGAAACTGGATCATAAGGGATTCCAAGTGGCACTAATAGGGGACACCAGTATCCCAAGTGGTGGTCACTATCCACTGTGCCCCAGTGCAGTCCCACAAACTCTTTCAAGAAGGAAAAGAGTGCTAGCAACGTCAT